TATATATATATATATGTGTCATCTGCCAATCCATACAAACCATATATTTCTTGTGATAGATCACTTACATATTTACTGAACACATACTGAACGAAATTAAAGTGAGCATAAATATAAACATACAAAATGCTTTGCCGAGTCCCAAAACAGCGAAAGACTAAAGCTTTCTTTTCAGGTTTTCCTGTATATTCCTTTTTCTCTACAAAATACTCAATGCATAAATATATATTTGTATTAACTAGAAGTATATTGTATGAATTTAAGACCCACAAACCGTAAAATAGATTAAATCTACTAGTGAAAAACAAATCTTAAATTCTCTATACATTTTACTGTAAGGCTTTAAGTTACCAAGTCTCAATTTCACCCAACTTTTGATACAAAAAATTATATATCAATTTACGATATGTTAATTTTATTAGAAAATTAGAAACGAACTTTTAGTTCATTTAATTCCCCATACATTAGCCAAATGTAGAATATGAATCATTTGAGTTAATTCAAAAATACTATCGAAATGCATGGTTATGACTTATCTACGTTTCGATTAATATTCAGCTATTTTGATGTTTATTTGGCAATAATAATTTTAAAAGGATTACATTATTAATTCAACCATCTGTTTCCTTAGTTAGCCCGGCCTGACATATCTTGGTGGTTAGGGCGCTCAACTCCGAACCTGCAAATCATGGGTTAGAATGACATCACCAAACATGTCCGTCCTTTCAGTCACGGGAGCGTTATAATGTGACAGTTAATTCTACTTTTCGTCCATAAAAAGTAGCCCAAGAGTTGGCTGCATTCCCTATATTCTGCCAAGTTAGGGACGGCTGAGTAGCTTTGCGCGAAATTCAACAAAACAAACAAACACAAAGATTTCAATTACACCATTTCTTCTGTAAAACATAATTTTCAATAATATAAACAATTTTCGCCAAGTTTGTCGTTTTGTTCTTTTGTTTTATTTTTCCTTTTAATTTCTGTAAATCGATAAGTAATGCATATTGTAATACATTACAAACCGAACATTAGGTAAGTGGTTGATTTTGATTAATAATACAGGTGATATCCGAGATAATTTCTCAGGTTTTGTCATAAGCGATGTAAGGTGCTTAGACTAATACTCTGAAAATTCTTTATCTTTATTCAATGAACATTATCAAGGTCTATTCGTTTTTCACACTATCTTCTATATATTAGACTAACCATATCTCAATACATTCATCCGTTTGTATCTAGTTTGCATACGTATGTATATATATTTCTATCTGAAGCTAAGATAAACAAAAACAGTTAACTAATTTACAAGGAAGTATAATGCACATGAAAGTTCATAATTATAAAAAAAGAATGTACAGCAATACAAAATTAAAGTTAAAAAGGATTTATTTAGTAGTGTCCTACATTTACTACCTCACCGTAGTTTTAATTAAGAAAAGAAGGAAAATTACTTCCAGTTCATAAAACCGCGTGAATCGGAGATATACGTAAAAAATAATAGTTTATCTAAATCATTACACAAAAATAATTTTATCACTTTTAAGTAAAACTGTTATAAAGTTTTTTCTCTACAGGTATACACTTAAGGACAAAGATCCATTCAAATTGCCTTTATTTATGAAGATCATTATCAATAAGGTTAAATTAAATATCATGTCATAAATAAAACTGTACTATATACTTTTTGACAACAAATGACGCTAATTTTTGAAGTTAACTGTGAAAGTTTCAACAAAGCTATGTTTTTAAAATTAACTGTAGAACTCCAAAGTAAAAAAGTACTAAAATAATATTTAAATGTTTGCATATCCTAACGAATTATACTAAACAAAGGGTAAAAAAATCGTATAATAATAAACCTTTCGAAATACATAGCTTTGTTTCTCAAAGTCATTCAGAAGGTCAAGTTAAGTAAATAAGCAGTGTCAGTCTTTGCGTACATATCACGCTGAAATAAACTTTCCTGAAGCCAAAATTTAGCCCTTAACTTTCTGACTTTTAAAAAGACAGTACATCAAATTCAAATATTTATCTTCATTAATTACAAACGATGTTTATTAATCACAAGTCGCTTTTTACGAACCTTATAAAAATATTACGCACTGTTATCGAAAGTAGGTCTTCACGTCAACGAGGGGTTGAATCTTAATTTTCTGACTTTTAAGAAGACAGTACATCAAATTCAAATATTTATCTTCATTAATTACAAACATAAACGATGTTTATTAATCACAAGTCGCTTTTTACGAACCTTATAAAAATATTACGCACTGTTATCGAAAGTAGGTCTTCACGTCAACGAGGGGTTGAATCTTAATTTTATCATGTTATCGAACAAAATATTACTAGTACTTTAATCTGTGCGTGCGTTATAAGGTTGACATTCAACCCCTTAGCGTCGATGGTGGGTGGTAGGGTGCAGCTGCCTGGCTGCTTTCCCTCTTGTCAGGAGTTCAAATAGCCTTAATACCTTTGTCATAAATACAAAGTATGATGTTTCTAATAAAGATATTTTAACAATTGTCAACGGGCAATAGTCAAGCAAAATATATTTTGTGCTTGAAAAACGATATTATTTGACTAATGTACCATATTAAACACTAACCCAAGAAATTTTATGCATGATGTTGTCATCGCTGCTGGAGCCCAGTGCTGTAAAAGTTAATTTGACAGAAAATAGTTTGTACACGACTTATACCAGTGCAATTGCCATATAAATCACGTGGTTAATCTTATGGACAACGCAAGCGCAGCAGCAAAAGGATAAGATGCAATAAACGTTAATAACCAATTATTCTCTCTCTGGACTGATGAAGTCTCAGTTTAAAGATCAGTCTTTCAATATCGCATATTTGAGGAACATCTGTGTAAGATCTGTGCAATCATATTTCAGGATTATTCTAGTAAAAATTTGGATTAGAATATCAAATATAATTTTGCTATAATTCTCAGTTGAAAAATACTTTTGCTATAAACAGAGACATAAATTTGGATTTAGACATATCAGTGAATAGACCAATACTAGAAGACGTCAACTAGATTCCACCACATAGAAGGACCTCATGGGCTGTGACTTTTTGCAAGATAGATCTGAAATGCTATACTATTTTTACGCACTTCTATTTAGAAATAGGTAAGAAATTAATTAACGGGAATTTAAGAGTAATTGCAGTCTATCACGATTTTATCACATATATACGTTTTTTTTTGGTTCCGTTTCTATGCCAATTCTCTATCTTTAACGCCTTAAAAATTTCAAATACGTTTACTTTATATTCGTTTTGCAACCCTCATAAGATTCAAGTGTGCGCCAAGGCTGTAAAACCTTATGGTTCTTCACACACCAAAGTATGTTTCCAATACTTTTTTATAGAAATAAACTCATCAACAGTAAAAAAGTTTCTAATTAAATACATAACAAATTGGTGTTCCAACATGCTTAAAGACTGTACGTACAACATTAAATTTGTTATTCAATGCGCAATAACATTATCAGTAGAGCAATGTGTTTATTTAGATTAAAATATATGTTAAATTTGGTATAAAGATTTGCCTCTGATATAAAAAATAAAATAAGAAATACATCTGCATAAAAGTAATAACGGCAACTTCTAATTTGATTTCCAAGTAAAAAAAAAACATACTTTTTTAAAGTAAACAAGCAATTTATAGAAAGTTCAAAATACAGAAAAATCTAGTTATTTTACTAAAGAATAATACGTTTTATAACTCTGAAAAAATATCTGATGCATCAGCTACAAAATTACTAAACATACGATTTTTTTTTTCATTTCATTACATTTTCTAATCTCTTTTCTAGCTTTAATTTTATCTTAGTGTTCGTGATACTGACTTTATTACTTAACCAATACGGATGCACCACCACATTATATCTCAAAGCAATTAGAAGGAAACTCGATTTTAGAATAAAAATAAACCAACCAGCTGTATATAAATCGTAAAGATAGAACAGTTAATGTTTCGTCCACAAAAAAAAATAAGTTAAATAGTGATAAGCTTTGTTTCTTTTGCGCAAAACTACTGGAAAGATACCTACATAAGCCGTCCCTAGCTTAGAGCCGATATACTAGAGGGAAGGAAATTAGTCAACACCACCTACCGCCAACAGTAATGATATGAATGACGCAAAATTACGACTGTGAAGTAGGTATTGGTTATATAACGGTGACTGAATAACTTATAAAGCATAAAATGAAGTTAACAGCTAAAGGGTAGTGATACATAAAATTATTATTATAATAAATTAGATCAAAAGATCAGCGTTAAACTCTAAAGATACTGCATAAATATTAAATATTTAAGTAGGATAAGACAAGGTGTTAAATATTAGTTATCTATACTGCATAAAGTTAAAAGAGTGAATTTTAAACGAAATATTTTAACATTTGAAATTAGAAAAAGGTTTAAATTATTCGAAAACCTTAAAGATCTAGTCATTTTTAACTTTATCATGATGGCCATGTGTATTATCACGTATGTAAACAAATAGAATATTTTTTAACCTATGAAATGACAAATGAACATTTAAAAGATGAAATATTTCATTCAAATTTTAACATCGATGTCTATAGAGAATACAGAATTTACACTCCTGAAGGTGTAAGTAAACAAAACATATGCAACAAACCAAAGACGAAAACATACTCTTTATTATGAGTTTCTTCTATATAATGACGTTGCAAAGTGTCTGTAAGTTTAGTTGAGCACATCCTTTGAGGTAAATGTTATTATTCATTGATAATTATCACTTGCATTATCCTTTCGTGCTAGTATTCAAAAACACGTGGTCTGTGAATAACATTGATTGGTGTAAAAATGAGCGTTTATTTGATTTCAATGCAGCTGAATCCCATGGTACAATTCTAACTGTTATATTTGTTTTCTTTCAGCATCGAATTACGTCTGTTAGTGATCGAAGCAAGATTTCCACACCGGTGTGAAACTTCTCATGATATTGATGTATGGCACCTATTTAGTGTCAGCTCTTGATAACCGATAACGTCGAAGATTTCGATATTATGAGATGTTAATCGCCAAATGGACAAAACGTTTAAAGGCTCGAGTCTAAATGTCGAATAACCACTTTGGGTACACAGAACTGACCGCTTTTAACGGGTACCTGAGTTGTCTTCAAAGTATTTTGATTAGCTGAAAATTGGTGGTTTTGATTCATACATTAGGCTCGAATCCTACAAAAAAACCATTATAACCTCAGTCGAAAGTCTGTATTTAAAGTGTGTCGTCTGATTTGTTCACATCCTTGATGGCCTCATTTTGAGTAAATATCATTTCCTCGACCTTACTATGTGTACATAAGAGCATGTTATTATACAGAATCAAAACGTTAAATATTGTAAGTTCTTGTGCTTGAGCAAAGTGGACATCAAGTAACCTTGACAGCCAACAGCATTCTTCATTTCACTGTTTTTAATGAAGAATACCTGTATTTCTGTAACTCTTTCGATAACTTGTGGTAACCTTCTACTAAATGTATATCAAACACGAACAATTTTTCTCCAACGTTTTCTTGTCGTGAAAATTCAATTCATCTAAATATTGTAAAGGAGTACAATGTTATAAGATAACCTATCGTTAATTATTACTGCTAAAGACATTCCAGATTGAGTTTTTCAAAAACAACATTAAATATTTATTTAAAAACATCTTCGTTGAAATCATAATTCATATGTTTGCAAATATATCAGTTGTTTATCAGTTCCTAGATTAATTTTGTTACTGGATTATGGCTTACCATTCCACATATATTTGTTGTTTTTTTGTGATGGAAATACTGATATGTAACTAAATTTAATCATATATATATATATATATATATTGTTTTTCACAGATAACATTTAACGCATATGTTTCTTGGAATTTTACAACTTTAAATGTGTTTTATTAAAATTGGCATGGTTTTTCAGATATGTTTGTTGAGAAGAAAACTGGTAGAAGGTCTCGTTTTTAAATTGTTTCGTCATATATAGTTTGATTTGTGAAATTTATGTATATGAAGAAAAGTAAGACATTTAAGTTATAAGGTTCGCATTGAGTTGGAAAATTAATATAAATAAATTGTTTCGGACAATCGAAATCTGCAGTTGCAATATTTTTATTTACTAAAATTTTCTACTATAAGAAAGCAAATATTTTCCACACAAGTTTACGTTTTAATTGCATTTCAAATTAAAATTTTTGCTTATATCATAAAGACAAATAAAATATATTCAGTGGATAATTTGGAAATATTTTAAGATATTTTCAAGCAAATATTAAATCAGTGCCATATGAAAAACTACTTGGATCGGAAGGTATGTTAAATACATATACTTATGTACCGTATTGATATCATATACTCCTTCCCATCCAAAAAAAATATATTAATTTACCAATACGGAATCAATCCTCTTGGTTTATAGTAAACTCTTGAGTTCCTCTAGAGAGCGTTTACTATAAAAAATTAATGAGTAAAATTATAAGCTTAACAATTTCTCTTATGTTCTTGACATTTTTTGAAAGTTTTATTAAATGTCATTTCTGCATTTTTTTCTTAATATTACGACGGAAATTTCAGAAATAAATTATACAACGTATGATAAGGGGTCACATTTAATTAAGATGATAACGTTTGCATTTTTTTATTTTTGGCTGAGAAAGATAAAATATGATTTGAAACTTTCTTTAGGCAAATATATTTCAAAGAAAAATACCGTTTTATTCTGTAATGATTGCTTTTCCTAGAAATCGATATAACGCATGTATCTGATTTGTAGACGATAAATGCCCCAGAGATTCTGTTCTCGCAGGGTTGTATTATTTGGTCCGTTTCTCTAACCTAGTTCGTTTACATATGCCAGACACCCCATCATTTGAACGTAAAACATGCTTTCATTTGTTTGTTTTTTTTGTAGACTGAATATTTATCTTTCTGACCATTCAATTCTCTGTGACCAGCAGGCTATGATTCTTCGGTTTTCAAGCATTGCTTACATTCCCACATCAATTGCCTCTAGCGTATCCTTCCTGTCATGCCACAGTGATCTCTTCATGATTTAATCCGATTTCTAGTTTCGTCGATTTCCTTACACAACAAAGTATTTGGAACACTATACAGATCCTTCTGGATACAAGGATTGTTTACGTGGAAAATGGAATAAAGTAAAACAATGCGCATACTTGCCGATATTTCATAATTTCCCAGAACGTTTACTACAATGTATCAGTATATTAGAAACCTGAGAAAAATAAATATATTTATGAATGTCTTTGAAATTGTTCGGGAGAAATTAACATTATTCTTACTTTTTTTTTATAAAAATTCAGAAAATAATTATATGTATGTAGACAGCAACTTCTAAATTAAATACCTGTCTAAATTTTAACTTCTCTGCGTTATTTAATCATAAACACAACTAAGGTTGAACATTATCACAAAAGAATAATCTCTATTAAATAGATATTAGCTGCTCTGATAATATGTGTATATTTTCGTTTAGATATGGCAAGAGCTACTAATGCTCTTATTGGTAGAAAATATTCTCCATTTTCTGCAACCTAGCTAACTTGTTTTCTCTCAGGATTATATTGATAGGCCCCTTTTTTTTTCTTGTTATTGTAAAATGATACAAATCGTCTTGATTATATAAACAACAAAGTTAATCATTTCCTCTTAAAAGAGCTAAATATCTTTACTTTATCACGTATTCATTAAATCAGGAAGTAATAACATTCGAATCAAACAGTTTATACCACTAAGCAGTAAACAAATGGAATATTTTATATCTTGCAATCTGTTAATTGTACACCGCCATTGAATTATTGTTTGTTTGTTTGAAGTTAAGCACAAAGGTACACAATTGACTATCTGTGCTCTGCCCACCATGGGTATCGAAACTTGGTTTCTAGAGTTGTATGTTCGCAGCCATACCTCTGTGCCACTGGGAGGCCAACCATTGAACTTTATATTATTTCATAAAATTATTGTATTTTCACTTTTAGCAAAGCAAAACTCTACTTAGTTTAAGGAAAATATGATTTTGAAAATTTATATTGTCATAACTGTGAAGCAAATATATATTTCAAGCTTTTATTTCTTAATCCGAAGGATAAAATGCTCGTAATTAACGTTTCTTTGTTGTTTAGGAATACCTCTCTCACTGATTTATACTATATCAATTATTGACATCAACCAATAAAGATTACTCTGGTGTTTAAAATATTTTTTCATGTGTTGAAATGAAAGCATCCAGTGTGATCTTGCTGTCATATGACCAACAGTAGCATGGTTGAATAGAATACGCTGATCAAATAACTAAACCCAAATTATATTCGGGAGCAACTTATTCTCTTTTCAGACAACTACACTTATTACAATTATTGTGAGAGATTAGAATAACGCTATAAATTATTTTCATGTGTATTTCGATTTGCATCAGCTGTACCTGCGACTCTGTGTCATTAAAGGTGAACAAAACAAAGGTTATAAAAAAAAAATATTTTAAAATGGGCCAGACAGCTTGTTTGGGAAATATACCTGGAACACTTTGAATATTGTATATTTCTTCGTTAAAAAAAACACAGAGTGCTTTTGTTTCTTTAATGAATTTTAGTTAGAAATTAACGGGCGATTTCATCTTCCATCATGTAACCAGCAATGGGGAAATATTAAATTAAATTGATACTAAAGATACATTTTGTACTAGTTAACAGGATTATTGAATCAATGTATCTGTCACTGTGGCACTAGTTTTCACAGCTGAAAACACAATAACCGTTAGCTTAGACTAAACGAAAATAAATAAGTATGCTTATTTTTCATCATCCCGAGACTTGATGCTGAAAAACATAAATCTGATATTTCTTTAAGCATTCTAAGATATTCTGGGTAATACATATTATCCGTATATTCTGAGAACTAAGTTTTAGCATGCACAGAAAACTGTTGTATTTTCCACAAAAGTTATAATTTTTATCCTTAAATGTTTGTAAAAAATATTGAATGAGACAATATTTGACTTTTCTACGATAAACGTTAGGAGATGGTAAAATGTATTTTCCACAGAATGTTAAGCATAAAATAAATTTCCTCTGAAACAAATTTGATCCTGGTTAAAATAATGTTATACATTTTTATTGTTGTTTTAAATTATAATGATCAATTAAAGCATTTCATTTGCTTATCGTTTTCATGAAAGAGAAATGTTGATAGCTGCAACAAATTATTATCGTAAAAATCAAGCTTCATACCTAAGTACAGAAATTCGCTTAGCATAGAAATGTGTGTGTTATTGTTCTTTATCAGGCGAATTTTCCAACACCATTTTCTGAGCATTTCATGTTGTAAATAAAAATTATTCTACATACTGCTCATAATTTTCCATTATGTATCATTCAACACGTAAGTTTCCAGTTTTGTAAAACATAAGGGTAAAGTATAATCAAGTAACTCGTATATGTTCTTGCTTCCAAAATCTAAAAAAAAAGGCGCGTGTTATTTGACACTGATAAGAAGGTGTGCGTGCCTTGAACCTAAAATTTACTAATCATCTACGGGTAAAATGTCAGGTTGATAGGGTAGAAGCTTATGGATAATCAACATAAGAGATATCTTTACTTGAAGTTGATGTGATTAATTGAGCCTTTGAAAGACCAAGAAGGCGTAAAAAAGAGGAAGTAGCGATTGTTTTTGTGGCTGGCTTTCTTACTTTTTTTTTCGTTTGCTATTACGTTGATTATATAAACTGTAGAATTTTATTTTGTTTTTCAATTCCGTATATAGGTTTTCTGATGAAGAAAACAGACACTTGAATACTAAATAATTAATCTCAAGTAATTAATCGGAGTTTCTAGTTAATCCTAAATTCAGCGATGATATGTGTTTTTAAACATATTATGTTAACCCTACTTATGCACCAGATTCCTTGTAGTTCCATAACATTTGCTAGTTACAGGATGCCTAATAAGTTATGAGTCATATGTTTAAAAAAAGTAAATATTCCAACCAACTTTCGTTAATTACTGCTGTGATTCCTTGGTTTCTTTTAAAAAGAGAACAAGTTATTTCACCCACTATTTATAGTCAGATCTTTACACTAAATATTCTGAAAAGCAGGGATCTAAAGTTTCTTAGTATAATGAAATAGACAGACCCATCCTGCAAAAGGTGTTTAAACAAGTCGCTACTAATCCGAGGGTTAAGATTCTTAGCCTTGCAACCAGGAATATTGCACACTCCTTCTAATAATTTTTTACAACTTCGAGTATTAGGTCTCTTACTTCCTCTTCACTTGGGGAAGTCTAGAAATATTAAATCTAAGCTAACCAGACGTATGTTTTGGCACAGAGATTGGTTACGTTGTATTAAAATTAATATGATAATTCAAATGAAGAGGTCAGATGACACTATGACATTTCGGGACGTTTCGTATGTAGAGTGATGCCACCGAAAATCGACATCTTATGGGAAGGACATGTATGAGCCTTTTCCGGTGCAAAATGTCCAAATATTCAGTTCATAAACGTGTGTTTAGATCGGGGATTTAGAATTTCCAAGGTAGCGATCTTCCTTGATCACAATGACATTGGAAAACAAACTTTGGGCACCAGGACAATTCATAGAGAAACCTGCAATAAGTCGTAACCAACCATCATAGGCAAAATGCGAGCATCTTGCAATGGGTGAGACTCCACAAACACAAAGAATAACATGGCTCAGGCAACAGTACTCAACATCATGAGGAATAATCTGCGTCTGGAAACGATGCTAACAAAGTATGGGCTCATTAAGATAAGGCCGTACTTTCTGATCAACCATCAGATATCTCAAGCAGATGAAAAATGAAACGAGTATTCATGCTATTAGATACAAAGACATATCAGTCAAGTCACGAGACACAGTTATTTTGGATCGCTGTGCGATCATACTGATGAAATGGACGCTCTGAAACCGTTGATTTTATACACTAGATGGATTATGGAAAGCAACAAAAAGAGTAGTATACTGTGGATGTGACATCCTTATGTCAGATCCCATTGTAATGGGCACTACGCTGCATGACTGTTCTCAAGATTTACGGTTT